GAACGGCGCCCCGTCACCGCCAGCCCCGCCTGCACCACCTGCAGGTCTACTGGCACCAGTAACAGGAGGACCACCAGCACCGCCTCCGCCATCATGTGCAATGCCTAGTAAGTTATTTTCAACAATTTCGATGGGGCTTGACTTGTTGTGCCAATTTCTGGAACAGCAAGCCTAAATTCCCTATCTACCTTAATTTGATGTTTTTAGTTCACCTTACATAATAGGATGACCAGATTAACAAAAATATTATGAAACATTTGTTGTTATTGAATGAGTTCAAACATTCGACTAATCAGTTGATTCGACGTATGAATTACATTGATTGCAAGTATTCTTAGTAATTTAGATGGAGCTCCGAAGACTGGCGCACCACCACCTCCACCTCCCCCACCTCCTGGCCTAGGTAAAGCTGGAGGACCACCGCCACCACCACCGCCTGGATTTATGAGCGCACCTGGAAACGCAGCAACTATAAAGAAGACCTACCAGACTAGGTTTGGCGTGGTTTCAGTAGTTAAAGAGTTATTCATTGCTATTTGTTTGATTAATAATATTTAGGAATAAGCTGCCCCAATTGAACTGGACCGCTATGAAGCCAAATCAAGCGAAAAATACTGTTTTCGAAGATCTCAACGATGAAAAAATTATCGAGAAGTTAGACTTCTCTAAATTGGAGGAGATGTTCAAACTTCAACCAGCTAGTGGAGATGCATCACTGGAAAATGGTAATCGTCTAGAAGTTGGAGCTGCAGGCGCTGGAGTTAGCCAACATAGCCCTGGGTCAACCGGAAGTGGTCCAACGAAGAAAAACACGTTATTGGACACGAAGAGGTTGCAGAACGTTGGTGAGTAGAATTGCTTGCATCTAAATTTTTTTGTATCTCGTACTACTTCTTTCATATCATTCTTCTTAATTTAATTTAATTTAATCCATTTCTCTTCTTTGGTGGAATTTTGGAGATCATTAAGTTATGATTTTTGTACTTTTAAGTATATTGAATGTTTGCATTTTTTATCATACATGCCGAATGCACATCATTTCCAGCCATCACCAGGCGGAAATTAGCTCTTGAACCTCGAGCCATAATGACTGCGGTCCATCAAATGGACCTGAACACATTGTCAGCTGATAAAGTGGATATTTTGTCTCGTATCCTGCCCCATGAGGATGAGCGGAAGCTCTATGCTGAACGGGGAGATGATGAAGGACTTAGTGATGAGGTAAGTCGTCCTTCACAGTCTATTTATCAGAGGTTGGTCATATCAACTGAATAAAAAAACCCATTTAGGACCGATTTATGGCAGCTTTGTGTGAAATTGAACGTCTCGAGCATAAGCTGAGCGTTATGAGGGTGATGGCAGATTTCGACGAGAGTGCAGCACTGTTGGAGCCGGTAAAGATTTTTGGTTTTAGAGTAACACTTTTTGAAAATACATTATTTTTTTTATTGCATTTCGGAAAAGCGGCCCTTATTTGGCTTTCTTCGAAAGGTCCTTTGAAGTACTAGCGTAAACGTTTGATACGCCTCACCTATTTCTCTTCCAGCAATTTACCCACGTAACAGCTG